ACTAAACCTAGGTAAAGTTAGGTGTAGTGGTGATATATATATATATATATATAGAAAGAGGAAACACGTCAAGTCCTGAATAATTCCGGAAAGAGACTGGACAAAGAAAGTTTGTGTCAACAAAGTGCTTGGAATCTTTTTCAAAATATTTTAGAGGCTATTTAGAAACTTTTAACCTACATAAAGTCATTAGGAAATCCCAAAAAAAGAAAAGCTCTACCATCCATGCATCATCAACTCCCCCCCCCCCCCCCTCTTCTTTTAATTCTCTTCCATAGTTGTACGAGTCCCTAAGTATAATGTAATGCTGAAAGCAAAATAATCCGAGAAATATGTTGGCAAATTCAATAAACAAATAATCAGAATAGAATAAATTCCTTTAGCTTATCAAAATATTCCCGGACAAGTGATGGAATTTTGAAAGAGCATTTATTAGGTACCGGAACTTCCCTGTAAGGTGATATACAAGAAACATATATACGCTAAACAGCTTAATTTCACATCAGTTATAGTTTAATGTAATCAAAATGAACAATCAGGATTTAAACTATGCCTCCGCAATGCAGTTGTCGTCCAGCAGTAAGCCTCAAATTTAAAACATTAAATGCAGAGTGCTACTTTATACCTTAATTTTTTCCAAGTCATAAAATTTGCTGAAGATGAGCTTTTCAACCAAGAGAAAAAAGAATGTCTAGCAATCTAAATAATTAGATATCAATGATCTGAAAAGATGCTTTACAAAAGCATGAAGGGTACTACTTCTTTGACATCTGATTTCATTCTCACAGCATGTTAAGGGTGATTAGAAAAAAAAAATCTGGTCGACTCATACTAAAATAACAATGACAAACTAAGAATTTTGATCTGAAGAATTATCCATCATGGAAATACAAAACCGTCAACAACAATTAGCAAATGAAAAGCTTACAAGTGTAAAACACATTTAGATCTCATATTGATCCCTCAAGTTAGCATGAAGTATCATTAACTCGAAGTAATTCTCGTCAGTTGGAAAACTTATTGGCAAAAAAAACATCAAAATGATTGATACAAAAAACTGTAAACGAGGAAAAATTGATGGTTTATGTAGAACAAAGAAAAGTATTTGCTTGGAAGTCTTTTTTAACAATTAATTATTATCGACGAAACAACAACACGCAACAATGCATCTGAAGGAAATGTAAGCGGAAACTAATCATCTTCATAAAGGTTCTATCTGGAAACTTTTAATTTTAGACTGCAGTCTAAAGTAATGGCAGTAAATCTATTTACTTTACCTGTTTCATGCTTTAAACATTCACAAGAATGTTCTTTCCTCGCCTTAGAAATCAAATTACCTCATTTTGAGATTAAAAAAACCAATGAAAAGTAATTAAATCGTCTCACTGATAAATCATAAATGGTCCGCACAGTTGTAGAAATGGACTAAAAAGAAAGAAGACATGGAGGAAAGGAACTGTTACTACAGCAGTTATCACCACCTGGAAGAATGCTCCAACAACTTATCACATGCATAAGGACAATCTTACTGCCAATGTCCTCTTGTCCGGTTTTTTTTTCTTGATGGAAAAAAATATGTATAATGAAACCACAGGACAATTTTAATTACGGTGAAAGATAGCGCAGGAAAAAGGAAAGCAGTAAAACGTGTTTCTAATCTTTTACTTTTCATTTCAGTGAAGGAAGAAATGCAGGAAGTTTGTGGCTTTCAAACAACACCACCCACAGGTCATTTGATTCTTCCTCCAGTATGAATTCTGGAAGAGTAGAGAGTGAGTAACGGCGTTAAACCAGTCAGGCATGAATTATCAAAATTTGTTCTTAAAATTTCTCCTTTAAATAATAAATGACTGCGAAACTAAATTAACCCAATACGGTTAAAGACAAAAGAAACAAGAGTTTAAAAAAACAAAATCTCATAAGTATTAATAGCTTATATCAATGAATTTAAAAAAAATGCGTTTCATTTAAACAAACAAATGAACTATCCTAAATATCCCTTTCTGCCAAAAAAGATACCGACATATCCTTGTAATCACCCGCTCAGCACAAACATTTGGGTAACTCTAACTTTTCTACAATCCATTCGTTGGTGTTGCATCAGTATGATATCAATGAAATCATTGTCTTATTGCACAGGATATTAATGCAATTGGCAGTGCATCTAATCGTGCCAGCTGTCATTTGGATTCGTAATATGTATCAACTTTATGACAGGAACATTCCACATATGGGTCTATACAGGACAAACGTGATCAATAAAAAGGTCATAGGTAAACAAATAATTAAAAAAAAAAAAAAACCTAACCTCATGTGAAAAATAACAATCTATGACAAACATTAACGAAGCGATAAAATTAACGAAATGATAAAAAAATAAATGCAAGGGATGACAAAGTGCAGCATCAGCAGTGACAAACATTCCTATGACACTGACATTTCCCCTACTTTTATCTTCCACCCATAATTATCGAATGGATGGAAAATGAAAAGAATGAAGCTCGAAAATTCATTAAATACAAGCGATACTGTATTAAATGGTTCTTCACTTGACATGGCCCTTCTGATGAATTTTTACAGGACAGAGGTGGAAATCGAAAAAATGTACTGACTCATAATATATCATTCAAATTGCTTTCTCATGCGTTGAATCATCAATTACAGATATCGGTCAAATTTGATAATGTAAAGTACCGCGGCAACATATTTTATTGCTTTCTGTCAAACTTGGCGATCGATACACACATACATTCCTCCTAGTTATTACCATAATAACGATGATAATGATCACATGGCAGTGATGATGGTGAACCAAAAAAGATGAAAGTTGAAATGGAAGCAACTTACGTAGCAAATCATTACGGAAACATACAATACAAAAAGTCAGAAGATATGAAGTTTCTGCTCAACCGGGAAAATCAATAATATATGATCAGGGAAAATTCCGGACTACCATTTTACTCAATGGCTCAGTAGCAATGTTATAACACAGATTGAAAACACAAATTACTCGACAAAAACTAGTTTATATTTTAAGAAATGTCTCTTTGCTCCTACGGCATGGGTGTTGCGCTACTCAGTTCAGATCTACGATGTAAATGCATCTACCATTCTCAACCTTACCGAATAATTAACACTGAAATGATATTGCTTACCTTTGATGACAGAAAAAAACAAATTAACCTTAAAGGTAATATGCAGTACCTGCACAGCTAACAATCTTTTTCATCTATGAGTATTTTCTCTGTATTTCATCATGAAATAAATCACATAAAATTTAGTGTTTTATCGCTGAGAATCAGGAGAGAAATAACTTGCAAAAAAAAATTAAAATAAGAAATAATTTGGGATTTCACAAAAAACAATTAGCCTGTGATGTCGAACGTACTGAGCTACATAAGTATGTTAGAAATTGTACTGAGAAAATTGGCAAATTAAGCTGGTATCCTATAAATTAACTGACGGATTATATCGAACCGTATATTAATCATAAATAAATGATAAGCAAAAGATTCTACTATCGGTAGGACTTTTTACTCTTCGCTGCAGTAAAATACGCTCATGCAATAACAAAGACTATTCTTTTTGTTTTAGTGAGAAGCAGAAGTTTGAAATGACGACAGCGAAATGAAAAATGCAAAAAACTTGTCGAATAGGAAATCCTAAGACAATCTAGCTTGTTGTGCTACTGATGTTGTTGTTGTTGTTTGTACCTTTAGTTGCTAATAAAAACGTTGATAATGATAATGATCCAATATATTGGGATATTTTTTGCTCGTTTCCTTCTCTATGAACCATACTTTTTTCACATTAACTTTATATCTTACTTTCGGCCACTAATTAGAACTTTAGTACGGGAAAAAAAACATCTGAGTAAAACAGGATCAACAACTACTTTCCAACCAGAAGGGAAAAAAGTTCCAAGACTAATTTCAAAAGAATTATCAATAAAAACAACTTTTCTCACTAATCAGTCATCGAATCAAAACAATTTTTTTTTTGAAATGAGTTAATTTGAACGTCGAAAAATGCCATAAAGGTAGGGAAGAATGCACCGAAATGGCAATATTAGATCTTTACACCAGTTCGGTAAAAATTCAATCAATATAAATGGAATTTATAAATGGATAAAAGCATGTCCAAAAGAGAAATGAGGAGTAAAAACAATGATAATGATAAGAAAGCAGAAGGCAATATCATACAGTTTTTGTCTCACATCTTTCATCGATTGCGCGTATCGGAGAGATTCGTGCAAAAGCAATAATGCAATCCCTGTCAAGGTGCAAAAAGAGAACACGACAGGCGCTATACAGCAAAGATCGAGAAATAATCATGAGTGCTTAAATTTCGCAACTGCAGGAACTAATGCTATTTCGAAATGAATATCGATCACATAGTAAAATATCGATGAATAAAACATTTGGAAACTAACTGACAAATGATATAAACAGGATGTAATATCAGCGATGTAGGAAGAAAACGTTTAAGCTAAAGGAGCTAGCTACCATGTATCATCACGATACGGAAACACATTTGTTAATGCAATTATCAGTGATGGACATTTTCCAATCCTAGCTTTATTAACCCTTGCACAAGTGATTGACAAAAAACCACCTACGTTTCTATTCAAGGTCATAAATATTTTCTCGATCAATTCTATTTTGCCACCAACCGATCGGTCTTAATCGGTAAAAAGGACTGAACAAGCGGAAAGCAAGCAGATTGGTCAGAAAAATGTTACCTAGTAATACATTTCCAGAGAACACATTTCATGAACCTAAACAAACTAACAAATGCACAGAAAAAATGCGGTAATCACCACTTCCTTTCCAACACCCCACGGCAAACTCATCCACTTATACAGCGAAACCAACATCTTCAGCAGGAGCTATAAAATGTATCGGGTAAGTGAGTCTGTTTCTATTTCGTCATATAATCGATATCGGAAAGAAAAGAAGGACTTTGCCCAACCAACATATGCATTTCTGAAAATGATAAATATCAGTACAACGATGACCAAACCTTAATTTCACCCACCCTGACACTTTAATATGTTCACTTTATCAATAAAATTCAAAGATAAAAAAAAGATTTAGAGAGAGAACGGTTGAAAGAACGAATGATGCAAGAACTGAGAAGCAGAATGACTTTTCTGTGTATGAAACGATTTCAATTAGAAGTGAAAGGTTCACGAAATTTCGGAAGTTTTTTTGGCAATGAATTCAACAACAGATCAATGAAAAAGACGAGGGGTGCAATTGCTGGCGGTGTCACAAACTTTCTCGAACCAAAGATCAAATTTCGACAAAATTGAATCATTTTCCCAGACAGCTGTTAACAAAAAAATTGTTTCATCCCCTTAATACGCAGAGCAAGAAGTGCGATGAAAAATTCCGCTACAATGAAGCAGGAAGAATTTACCGAAATTGAAGTGTCAATCTTGCATCTCACCAGTTATCTTACCTCTACTTACATTCCTTCTGAAAATGACAGTTGTTAATTTGCTATGAAACAGTTAAAAGATTAACGAATTAAGTACATAAAAATATGAACGACATTTTCAAACTGATATTAAAAAAATTTCACTTAACCTCAATTGTGTTCCAGTTAAAGTCAGTAATTAAAATGATTAAATTAAAAAAAGCTTTTTTGGGTTTCTTTTTCAGAATTTGTTATTCATCTCAGTTTAGTAATATCCTTTCCAATTATTAACAGTGCCATACTTAGCAGCAACAATTCTGGGAAACTATTTACATCTGAGAACGAAAATTTGGAATTTGAAGCCATCAAACGTAGTTGCAGAAGTAGCTAAATGACAACACAAAGTAGACGTAGACATCATAAAATCCTTTTAGTATCAGTAATCTCAGCAAAAGGTTATCCTGATTACTTTAATTTTATAAGGATCTTGACAATACCGTAAAAAATGAGCACCGTGTTTCTCGAAAATAAATCATCCCTTAAAAATAGGGCCTAGCGCTTTTTTTTTTAGGATGGGGAAATAAGACCCTGTCTTATTTTCAGGCAAAAATAGTGTAAAGGATTCATTCAATCAATTACTGCAAACTAACGCGCTTATCATTTAGTGATAAGTGATGTCAGTTAGTGAAATTTAGTCATTTGGTGATAAGGATAAGAGGGCTCCCTCTAATTCTGCTTACCTGTAACTCTATAACTCATTCTTATTTCCTGTTTATCTATCAACTTCCTATCTTTCTGATAGAAAAAAACTATTGAAAGACTCGTTCCTCTGTTCTTACAGACAAGGACGGATGAAATGCATGTGGGAAAGAAAACAAATTTAAGCACTTCCGACTGGCCCGAAATCTTTCCTGCATAGTTTTTCATAATTTTTCGGTAGACAACCAATGAGCAGTTTTCCTGAGAAGTTCGCCAAATGACTGCAAGAATGCATTTAAAAACAGGACAGCTCTCTTTACAAGTAGACTTCTGTCACAAGTGAAGAGAGAAAAATGGGAGCATATTACGACGATATTGGATGGAAAGGTTTCCAACATTCCGGAGAGAAGATATGATGTGTGGTATTTCCGTTGCCCAGCGAGAGTTTCAGCTCTGTTCCTGAATGATTCATCCATGTGCAATATCACACTTTGATCTGATGTGCCCTCTTTTCTTCCTACTCCTCTCTCTCTTATGAGACAGTGCGTGGCGCGTGAGAATGTTTTGCCCGCATCTCGTCCTTCCCTGAATCAATCAAGGGTACCCCTGTAAATCATTCTCCTTCTTTTTCTCCTCTTCATCCCTGCATTCTCCCTCCTTAGCTTATCATTAATTGGATGAAGACGATGAAGATAATAATTATTTGATAACTGGCCAACGACTGAGTTCGGGCTATTAAAAAATTATCGAAAGAAATATACGCAAATTGGAATGACACAACACTTCTCCTCTCATTAATGATAATGATAGGAGTTCAATTCGCCAATGGGTAAATGTCTGAGGTTAAAGTGAACTGCTATCATCATGAGAAATATCTTCTCATTCAATTAGCATTCTTTTCAGTTTGATTTCTGGAATGAATCGCAAATTATTACTTTTAATTCACTGGACAGCCGACATTTACAATATCAGGTTTATTTTCAATTGGTTTGATTGAAAACCTTTAAAAAATATTGGAAACAGAAGTATTCACTTTTTCGCGGACACCGTTCTTTTGAAATTAAGAGTGAAATGTAGTGGAAATGTTCTAATGTTCCGTACTTGTTGAAATTCAGGAGGACGGGACCCCGTCCTTGCCTCCAAACCTTTTCCTTTTAATATTACTTTGCAGAGACTAATTCACCCTTCCCACTTCCTTTCAAACGAGTTGTTCCAATTCTCCTTTCCTTAATAAAAGCCTTGCATTGATTTCTTGATATTTCAAAAATCTTTTTGAATAAATTCGCAAAATTCTGGTGGGAGCAGAGCGCCTTGTCACCATCATGTAGGGACAGGCAAACACCCTGTTTGCCATTGTTTGTTTGTCTTCCTGTCCTTCTTGTTACATATTGCACTCTTGTTTAATCTCCTCATCGACGAATTATGTATGATGACGAAATCGCATTTCCGAAATAATCTCCTCTTTTCCATTGTTCCTGTTCAAGAAATTTTTTGAACGCAATTACTGCATTCTCTATCAAACAAATATCTCAAATTTCTCTTACCGCCATCTCCTCCGTCCGTCATAGCCATTCTTCAGCACGCTTTAAATATAAAAAATGTTTGCCAAGAACTGGCATAGTTCCAACTGATCAAATCACTAGTGATTGTGTATGAAATAAAATGCAGGTTACAGTAATTTGAAATAGTGGACGCTATTACTTCTCATTACTGAGAACATATTTCAAATTTTCATTTTAAAGCCCCTGTTTCACTGTTTCATCAATTCAAAATGGTTGGTGACCAGGGATATGAAAAGTCGAAAATAGAGTCATTCCTTTCTTAATTACACTCCTCCCTACATACGGTATCTTCTGCATTCTTATAAGGGCAATAAACTGAACAGGTAATGATAAGAATAGTATTACTACAGAAGTGATATTAGTTTGAAATGCTAATGCTCATTACATGTCAATCGTTGTATTCTAAAATGCTAAAATGCTTTTGGCTCTATTAATAATGAGAGAGGCAGCAGTTGGCGACAAAAAAATAGAACTTTTAGAAGTGAAGTAGATTGGATGCTAACCAAAACTATGAGTTTGAAGAGGATGTTGAAAAACTAAAGAAGAATAGGACTCTATCAATTTTTAAAGGAGTATGATGAAATTCGCATTAGATTTATTCCTTTTACAAACTTCTTGAACTTTCACCTCTAAGAAGCGCAAGTGAAAGAAATCGAATAAACGAGGATTTTTGCTCAGAGCTGTGTCACATTTCAGCAGCATATGTTAACTGACATATATATTTCGTTTGAAATATACAAATAGGTTATTAAAGTGGGAATGCAAATAAATAAGGAATAGCTAAGAGAGACAAATATCTGCTTTTGTTGAGTTGGACTATAGATGACATCTGCTTTCCACCATATTCTTTACCTTAGGCATATGAAACTTACTCTTACTCGTGTCTAAACCACAGAAGTGCCAAGAAAACATCTTAGGTCATTTGGATTAAAATACCACTGATCCAGCAGTAATATAAATTTGTGACAGATTCATTTGCAACCATTCCGCATTATATTCCCAGTCACTACTCTTCATATACGCAAGAAAAAAATACACAGAAAATCTAATTGTTACTTTACTTAATGGCATTCAGTGCATTTCTGTTCTATCTTCGTTTCCTCTTCTCGTCTGTTTATCATAAAATAGCACTTTTCCTTCATTTCCCTCTTGTCCTATCTACAAGTAAAATGGAATTTATTTTAAAATCTCAAGATCAATCAAGCAGTGTTCGTAGTTTGACAGTATGCGACAAACCGCAGAAGAGCCTTCAATCCTTCAACTCCATGCAAGTTGAAATAAACTGGAAAGTTTGCCTTCTCTATGTATCCTCTCGAGAGCAATTTTTTTCCTTTATAAGACAGAAACGTCTGCCCTGGCTACGTCAAAGCATATGCGGATACTACTGCTTGGTAACTTTGACAGTCACTGTTCCATAATTCAACAGTAACACGAAGATATTAATCAAAAGCAAGTCACTTCAAGAAATGACTGGAAAAATTCGAACAGTTCTAGCATTTCAATTCAGTGATCGCAATACTTTAAAAATTTAGGTAAATGTTTCTAATACGAAAGGCAGATTTAGTTTTATCTCGTAAACGAATCTAATCGAATTCATTATTCTTTAAAAGTTACTGGCATACACTGAAACTTGATTTAATCTTCGATTCCTCGTTTCGTTGCAATTTTATTTTTCCAAGTTTCGAACTCCCTGCTTTTTCCCCAAAACATAATCCAGGCACCATATCATGCCAAACCGAATAATAGTAGTACTGACCAGTGATGACTTGAAGGATTGGACGGAAGTTGAAAATACAGAAAGCAATGGAAAGGAAACATTTCTAACACTGTGCAAACTATCGAGAAATATCTTTAGTCATGAATGAATTAAAGGAAAAGATTTAACGATTTGCACTTCCCAAATAGGCGGAGATGCATGCCCGGTCTTGTGCAGAATAAATTGCCAGAGAGTGTCTGGTGGCATTTGAGAAATCGAATCATAGTCCAGCTCGGCAACATGATAATTCAGAATTTGCGTGAGCTTTGGATAGATGGATAAAATGAAATGAAAGTTCTCGAAAGTGTTCCTTGTTCGTTATATTTTTGAAGTTTTAGTATCTGTTAGAAGTTAAAGGAAATGGAAGAAAACAACTGTTGGCATCATTTAAACATTTGAATTTTTAGTAAACATAGAAGGGAAAGCACCATAGCATCTCAGATTCCTTTTTCTTGGAAAGGGAAGAAAAATTTTCGCAAGTATGCACTTATGAGCAGCAGTTTCTTCCTCTTCGTAATTGAAAATTTGTAGCATCTTTTCTATTTTTTTTTTTGCAAAATGCATCGGTGACACCCTTTAGCACATTGCTAAAGAGTGCTAAATTAGTTTTAGAGTAATTAATGAAAGGATGCTGCAGAGAATTGGGTGAAAATCGAAAAAGAACAGAATAGAAAGTTTTTAGAAAAAGGGAATCCTGGTTGTACTGCTGGAAAGCCTACTTGACCATGAGATGTAAGATGTAGACGGAACTAAGGACAAAGACGAAAAAGAAAGAATTAGAAAAAGGAAGAAGGTGTTTATTCCGGTAAACTGTAGATTTAACTGATTGCTATTAGCTAAAAGGACGAAAAAAGAGATCTATATTTAGATCGGATAGGCTTAGTTCCAGACGCAATCAATCAAACACGAAATGCCTTTCAGCTTTTCTTTTCATCTACCAGAAAAGTGTTCTATTTCAAATATCAAATACATAGTAAGGCGTACTCATTTCTTTCTTGAGGACTTTCCTTCTAAACTATTATCACCGCTTTACCGGACAATATTCCGAATCATCACCTTACCGGAAAATACTCCTACGTAACCAGGCAAACATTAACAGACTTTCCTTTCAGAGATACTGAAGTATCAGTTAAAATTAAATTCTTAGAAATAGTTGCAGCTGTTCACGACATGATTAATCCTTTATTTGGGCTTCAAACTTTGCCGCTACTGAAAGTAATGGATACATGAGAAATTTGCAAACAAACCGAAAGTATTGGGCGCATCAAATTCAACTGGGCGCATGTCAGTTCGTACTTTGAAGCATTACTTGCTGCTCTATTTGTAGCAAAAGAAGCAATGATGAAGTGAAGAGAAGCTTTTGCTCTTTTGATCGCAATATTAAGCTTAGACTTGATTAATTTAGCCAGCATTTGATTATATATATTCCTTTATTATCCTCTTATCCAAATGGTCAGCAGCAAGTGTCAGCCATTGTTTCTGATAGGACTTAAAAATTAAAGTATAGAACTTTTCATTTCCATCTTTTTCCATTATTAACAAAACCCTTCATGATCAAATCAAAACATCACTGAACGGACCATAAGTGTGTCCACCTCAATTGGGTATCAGTAAAATAGATCATCGATGCACTTTGACAACTCATTACCACTTTGACAACAGAGCTGCTTTTCTAAGATGCCACAGAAAGTGATGAAGCTTTGACCTTGAGTGAAATAACAATCAACATATCTCTCTTTGAAATATTTCATTTTGATTAATAAATTTTAGGGAATTCTTCACTGATATTTATGCGTGGAAAAAGAGAGAAAGAAGGAGAGAGAAGGCAAGTAAAAATCTCCGCAAAAATTTAAATATAATGTTTCTTCCTTACCTTATCACTCTCATTTTCTCCACAAAAAATACTAAATTTCTTATTTTGTCTAAAAATAGCTGCTTCCGAAAATTTGTCAAACTTGAACAGAAGTCCGTTTATTTGTCCACCCAAATTTAATTGCTTTTCAGAATTGTATTTCAGTGTATTTTATATAATAGCCTATTATGCATTTATCTTACCCCTGTTTTGATAGATTCTGTCATTGAAGATAATTGGAATATTCTCTGATTAAACGCCAATAGGGACTATATCATTTCATCTTTGTTCAAACTACATCAATCTACATAGGTTCACTTTAACGCCACCTGTCCACTTGACATTAGTTTTAGTCAGTTACTTCCATAAAATATTACACGAAGTGAGATAGAATGGTAAAGTGTCCAGTTTAATAATGCCTGACGGAATATTTGCAAAGAAGTCAACAAATGAACTCAAAAAAATTGCAAATGTACAACATGCAAATGTTATAACGACAAAAACACATTTCAATAGGTTGTGAAAAGAGGATATTTTGGCAAGAAAAAAAAGAATGAAGACATTTCGGCAGGAAAGGAGACAGGATGATTTTGTGGAAGAAAACTGACTTAATATAAATCTTGTGATGACCTTAGAATATTTTCCAGACTCTGGAATCATATGCTTGAAAGCGACAACTAGAAGTGAGAAAAGTGAAATATTTTTCGATGAGAAATTTAAATATTTGAAGTTGAAAGTTAGTAAAATGTACTTTTTTAAACGAAAAAATGATTTGCTATCAATCTCCCATTATTTAATTCAACAAAGTCATGTTGAAAATTTGAAAGTTTCACTGGTAACAATCCTCAAACTTTCTTAAACTTTATATGGTTATAAATTCTCGAAAGAGTTTCTTGAAAATGTGAGATGTAGTCATTTGGGAAGTGTCACATTTCAATTTTTCTTCATCTTTCAAATCCTTCTAATAAACAAAATTACTTCAATTACAAATTATTTCCGATTATTTCAGTTACAAACATTTTCCAAAGCATAGTATGTTTTTGAACCAGGCAAAAATTGCATTTGTAACCATAAAAGTACAATGCCTTTTAGTCATGGTACTACGCAACCTTATTTTAAAAAAAATGAAAGTATTACGGTTCACTAGGAAAGTTCGCGAACGAATCAACTAAGAAGTACTGATAACCATGATGACAATAACAACAACTCTTATCATATTTGATAGTTGATAATCGTCCTGCAAATCAGTCACCAAACTATCATAAGAAACTGTCATCAAAAGAACATTGATAATGTTGATGTCATGTGGAGGAGACTGCTTTCTATTTTCTCCACTTTGTGAATGCTTATAAAAATATAAAATGCAAAGTTAACAGAGCTGATAAATACCGACAAAGTGAAAAAGTAAAGGACTGCCATAAGAATTAAATTTTTTCGTTTACACACAACAAAAGGCTATCATCTATTTGAATCTTTCCAGAATACGTAAGACGTCAACAATTTCAACACTGATTCCTCTTCAAAAGTACTTTATTGATTTCATCCGCAAATCAACATTGGCTTGATGGACGTTTAAATCAGAATATGATAAGATGAAATCACCGAGTAAAGCAGAGTACATATTTGGAATTAGATATAGAACGATTAAACTAACTTTAATTTCTTATTAGGAGATGATAAAATCAACAGCCTGTTTACAAACATTGCAATTGGTATTTGAAAATTTTAAATCACTAAACTAACTTAACTAAATTGTCTTATTTTCGCAAACGATGAAATGAAAATTTGTATTGAAACGAAAATAAATTAAATTATCAAACAGTTCTTAAGAAAATTCTTAAATGAAAACTCACATTTAGCAGAATTTTACATTTTAATTTGTTACATACAAGTTACGTTTAATCGTAAACAAGCAATTAATAACAGATCAATCGATCCTATCCATAAATTCTATAACTATTCTTTAAAAAGAGTGAGTTCAATAACCTCGGCTGATTCTCTATTATCTGTTAATTAATTTACCTACAGAAACAATCGCTGAAGTCTGATTTATTTAATTTAATTTCTCCCAGTTTTGAAGCAACTCAATTACACCTTTAATATAGGCTACTTCGAGAAGCCTTTAATATAGGCTACTTCGAGAAGCCAATATGATCACTCGATTCAAACTTCCGGACGTGTTGATCTATTATATCAAATCACTCAATATTGCTTTCAGTTTTTAATTTCAGGAGCAAATTACAAAGGATGAATGACATTCGTTTCAAATCCACATTGTCCATTGTCGAAATAGAAGGAAAAAGAAAAAAAACTGGGGCGAACTTTGACCCTAATCCTAATTTAGTGTAATGGAAAAATAGAAAAGAACAAAGCGGAAAAAGTTAGTAGAAATTAAAGAAAAAAGCACAAAAATAATTTCACCAAAAAAAGATGAAAGAAGAAGGAAATGAATGACCTTTCAATTAATTTTGGCAAAAGTGACATGACAGTCATTACTCAAAGTGATTGACAAACATATGTTACAACAGAAAATAATAAAAATAGATTTCATTTCATTTTGAAAATTT